ACCTCCAGATGTCAGTAGAAGAGAAAGGAGAGTGTCATTTTCCTCTCCAGCTGAGTGAGAAGGGGAGAATACAACTGTTGCAGAGAGTACGGATGCTTACATCTCACATCCTGGCTGGATGCTGTTGAGCTTCAGAATTTGTACGATGGCTCAGGCCCACCCTATGCCACCAGAGCAGCGACTAACATAGTTCTTGACAACACTCTGTATATCTAGAATTTGGCAAGACAGGAATGTGAAATGATTACTGTTGGCCAAGTGGACACTATGGGAGGTAGGCTTGAAAAAGCTTTTTGGGATCACACCAATAAGGCTGCCTGCAGGGGGATGGGAGAGTCTCCAAAGACCCCAGTGCACCTTGCAAGAGAAAGAGAAAGAAGAAGCATGTGCCCAAACGCCATCACACGGAGCACTCAGCACCCACGTGGGAACCACAGATCGTACCACCGAAGTAGTTTTTCCTCTTCTTCTAATCTGCCCTGGGAAGTGCCCAGAGTAGCAGTTGGAAGGTGGGGGAAGGAAGTGGAAAGAAGGAAGAAAAGACAGATCATAGCCCTTGGGTCAAGCCTGTGCTGGAATGGGGGAAGAGAAACACGGAATTGGGAGTGAGATTAAAGTTTTTATTCAAATGAAAATGGAATTTTTTAATACCTGAGAATGAAACTGCCTTAGTACCTAAAAGTGCGTTGGATATAGTCGGGGCTAAAGCCAGAGATCAGATGGAGCATATTGGAGAGAAATGGTGGGAGAAAAAGCTACTTTATAATTAAACTCTACAGAGTTCAGTTGGTTAGTAAACCAATTACATGACTAGGATATAGCCCAGAAAGTTCTAAGGCTAGGAAAGATTTTCATCTGATTGTCTACTCAATACTCATATTTATCTGATTGAGCATTAATCTCTTAAATGCAGAGAAAATATTTTTCCTTGTGTGGCCAGAAATATATGTGTGACATTTTCTATTTCAGAGTCAGAAGAGAATGTCAGGGCAGAGTACAATGTACTAAGCAACAGGAAAGCTGTTTGAACGTGGAGCAAATTTTTTTAAGCATAATCTTTCATTTGACGCTTCTTTTCCTTTGCTCCTTTTGCCTTATCTATGCTATAAGAACCAAAGAAAATGGCTACATGTTGGGACAATATCACAATCCACTTACAGAATGCGACCTGGCTAGCTAAGAAAAGCAGCATGGAAAACCAGATGTGGAGGGGAAGGGTGACTTAGAGGAGAGGTGTGCCCTGTACTGTGCACTGCACTCTGAAAGGTTCTCTTGACTCCCAAACAGCTCAGGTGAGATGAGTGGCAGGGCTTGATGGTATACTCTGCAGCAGAGACTTCTCACTGGGAGAGCATTTTGAGGGAGCCAGATGCAAGGCAAGAGACTGGATGCTCTAAATATATTGATAAACATATGTTTAACCTGAAAATGTTTCCTCAATATGAGAAAAGTAACTTGTGTGTGATTACTATTGTTTAAATTTCCATTTAATAAGGTAATAACTCACTTAATGATAATAATAATAAATGGCTAATATTAAGCATTTACCATGTGCCAGGCACTTTGCTAAGCTATTTACATGCATTGTCTTATTTAATACAATGATCCAAAGGAGTAGGTAGTTGCATTATCCCCATTTTATGTGAGACAATTGACCTTTGAAACAATGTATATATCTTACCTATGTTCACTGCTAGTAAGTGGCAGAGAAGAACATTAATCCAGATCTAACTCCAAAAGTTAAACTCTTAATTCAGATAGAAGGTAGAACTTCTTTTTTATACAGATAATTTTTATTATTTAATTTTTATAACTCATCATAATTTGAAAAAAAAGAAACTGCAAATATTGAGATTTATACCAAGAGCTTTGATAATAACAGAAATTTTATACTACAGAGAAGACCAAACCTTTCTAAATTACAGGTTATATAATTAACTCTATCTTCTCTCCTTTTCATTTATCTTTCAACAATTATTGTTATAAATATGTAACTTACAGAACATTAAAGTTCAATTAAATGAGAGAACTGCTATTGCTGTATTCATTTCTATATATTTTTCAATTTCTACCATAGTGTAGAAATCAAATTCATTTCCTGAAATCTGATTCTCTCTCTCCAGTGTCATCTTTTTAAATGATAGAGAAAGAATTTCCATTTTCAAACCCAAATTTATATACTAGTTTGATGATGTAACACATTTTCAAAATTAAACACAGGGATATGTCTATTTTTCTATCTATCTATCTATCTATCTATCTATCTATCTATCTATCTATCTATCTATCTATCAACTAAAACTTGTAAGAAAATAAATAAATAGATAAATATAAATGTACATTAAAGTAAAAATATATATTTGTATTACTATTTTGACATCCTAATAATAAGAACTCAGACTGAACCAATTTATCTTATATTTATTGACTACTAAGAGTGTTTTGATAACTGGAAAATTCAAAACATACCCTTGAGGAAAATTCAAAATATACCCCAGAAGGAATTGCAAAGAAAAATTAACTGTTTTTGGTGTGTGGGAATGGAGGTAAACGCTTTACTAAAACTGCTTTGGGATTTAGAGTATTCTAATAAATAGAAAAATTTTAAAGGGACATAAACCTTTTAACTCAATATCCCAAATGCGAGACCTTTTCTCTTCCAAGAAGCTCCATTGATTTTCAAAGTTTACTTGGTCCATTAGAAGAGCATCATTTTTAAAAACGAGGACATGTACTTAGAGGCAGAGTGTGTCACTTGAGAGGACGTCTCAGGATATTGGTGTCCCTTTTAATCTGTGTTGCCTGACAAAACAGGCACAAAACTCAACACTTGGTTCAACACAATTAGTGGCTCTAGCTCTGTGTGGTACCAAAGCACAAGAAACGTAAAGTAGGCAGTACAAGCCTTGCTCAACTCGCTTTCAAAAGAGAGTATTTGATGCATTTTTTATGCTACTTCTCTTCTCTTCCATAAGATTTTAATGGACTAAAGTATGTCATGTGTATAGAACTCATGATAAAATGGAGAGACAGGCACTATATATTTGAAGTAGCTGCAGAAATAGATGAGAGAGAAGTCTTTTAAAATGCATCATCTGAATACAATTTAGCCTGAAAAGTAGAAGTGTTTTTGCTAAAATGCTTTTTAACAGCACAAGGAGATTTATACTATAAAAAGTCTAAAAGGATTATTCATCCCAAACGGATTATTTCTTTTCGAAATGAATATTTATAGAGAGCCTCTGAATTAGGCAGTAATCTTTGCCTTTGTTTAAACACAATTAACAATATGCAAAATAAGACAAGGCTTTTTAGAAAATATGTGAGCATGAGTACTATTATTGGCAGTCATTTCAATATCTGCACAGTGAGTATATAAATTGAGGAACGACTAACCTGTTATGCTCTTGATAATGAACACCTGTACACAATGAAAGCATGGCTGATTTTATGAATGCATGAAAATCCAACCAGGCAATTAATGTTCAATTTAAAATTCTAACTATTGAAAAAGTAGCAAAAAAAACAACTCATATTAGGCAAATCACAAAAGAAGAAAAGTTGGATGTTCTGTGAATGAATCTTTTCCAACATATTTGGGCTACTTTATCTTCTATTTTCTTGGTTGCTTACTTGTTATATGGAACAAATTTGAACATTTTTAATATGATTATTCACACTTAATGCAATAAGTTGACCATTTGGGATTCTTTTTTTTCTTTCTTTCTTTTTTTTTTTTTTTTAAAGGACCAGACCTGGTGTGTTTTAGAGAAAGAATCAACTCTCTTGATAGTTTATTTTGATTGTTATAAACTTTGTTCAATTTGTAAGAAGTCACAAAGCACGTTTTTTGGTCCAATTCTATAACTGGAATACAAAATAGACACTGTTAATTCTCTGTCTTCTATGTACACATATTTCTGACCTAGGTCCTGATACGGGTATGGGCATATAAAGGAAAGGAAAGAAATATTCCCTTTCAACAAAGACATACGAGTACCAGTACCAGACACTGTTCTAGGTGCTGAAGATAGAACAGTGAACAAACAAGACAAAATCCTCATTCTCAGTGCACTTATATTCTAAAGATTATTGAGATTCATATGTTATTATTGAGTGTAAAGACACAAAAATTCTTTTTTTCCCCTCCCTGTATCTGCCATCTCCCCCCACATTTTTCTATTGTTTTCTGATTGTTCTCATTGACATTATTGACATTTGTGTTTGCCTAAGCTAGTACCTTACTAGATACATTTTTATATACAATTTTATAAGAACATAAAAGATAAATCTCAATAAGATTTTGTCCAAGGTAATCAAGGCTAAAAAAATTTCTTTATACTGCTTCTTCTGGGTGATAGGCAAGATATCTTAAAATTTGTTTTTAAATAAACCTGTTAATTTCCCTTATGTAGTCATTAGAAACATTTTATCAGAGAAACATCACTCTAAAAGATTAGAATACTGCTGTATTTTCTAAATCAGGAAGCACATGGGTATTTATTTTACACATAGATTCAAGAAGGCAGTCGGTCCAGGAAAGACTATGTTTGTCTTTGCCAAGTGTAGTTTATACTGGGTTAGATGGTGAAGGGCAACATAAAGAGTTCTAAGGAAGTACACTGTAATTAAAGGTAACTGTTATCACCGGAGAAAAAGAGAGTGAGCCAATCTATTCTGAATTTTATGGACTTGCTATATTGAATGAGCATGTAATTAGAAGAAAAAGTTAACTATTTCAATTTCATGATAACTTGAAGATGGGTGCAAGGGTTGGGAGGAAATTGAAGCATCTAAACACTTGTATTTGTGGAAACAAGGAGAAAAAAGATCCGAAAACAAATAAAGTAAAAGAATTATTTTCAAGGAAATGATTTTACGATGTCTAGTAAAATGAATCAGGAAAAATTATACTAAAGCACGCAATCATATTTAGTTCAACTTGCTTTCGAAGTGATTAGAGGCATACCAAATAGCATTCTGATTCTCCAAATTCTTACCTGCTTCATTTGTGCGGATCATTCGAGATGGGGTGCTTGGATCTCCAGTCCCAATTGGATTGGTGGCCACCACTCTAAATTCATATTCCACCCAAGGGTTCAGGTCCACTGCCATGGCTGACTCCATGTCCCCTGTTATGATTTCTGGAACTATGGAAAGGAAGGAGATTTCACATCATTAGGAGGACTGGAAAATGATTACGAATGGCAATCAAGGCTAACATAGGCACTGATAGAACCAGCAGGCTGATGCATACTTCCCTGTAATACATGGTCATCGCATCACCTGTGGTCTCACTAGTAAAATGAAAATCAATCTTTAAGGAAGTAAGCATTTGCACATGTCAAAGTTTGTTGTAGTTAGAATCCTTTCTTCTCATCTTTATACGTTAATTGCCGTAACATAACTTGCCATTATCTACACTAAAAATCATGTTGTCAACCCTTCTGCCCCACATAAGAGCCCAACTAATGCTGTAATTTAAGCAGCTATTTCTTCTAAAATTTCTAGGAAAGTTTCTTGAGCAGTTTGGCTCTCCCAGTTCTGGCAAACAAGCCCAGCCACTCGGCAGTTCCAAACAGCAGATTAAGAATACATCTCTCTAATTTAAAAACTGCCGTTTGTGGTTTCTAAGCGGAAGCTCTGAACTCTCCATGGAGTGACTTTTGTATTACATTTAGATTCTATTAAAGCATAAAATTTTCAATAAAATTACCACATAGTGAAATATTTTTTGCATAGCATATATGCTCTATTTGGGACTGCTGCCTAGGAAATATTTCTGGAAGGATATTTGTTACAGGGAAGAAAATGGAGAAAGAGGAAAACTTGCCTTATGATGTGCAAAGATACTCTGGATTTATACCAGTCCTGGATTTCTTTAAGCATGGTGGGGCAGTGGGAGGCTCTTCATTTGGTGACTCGGTGCAGTTTTACTATGGCAAGGTGGGATTAAATGTATCTTGGATTTTCCAAAAAAATCTCTTTCGAAAAGTATCAAGAGAATGTTACCAAATACCCAGCTCTGTGAAAGGTGAATGATCAGAGCACAGGCATGTGGGCTGCCTAACATATCGCACAGCACTGCAGAGCTGTGATTTTTTTTAAGGAGAGAAATGAAGACCTGGAAAAAAGTCTGTCCTCTCTTCTGCACTAGCCAGTGAGCAATATCCTTGGAGTCTAGGAGGTAGGGGAAAAAAGGCCACTGTTCAGTACATGGCTTGGTGAAATGCAGAGCTAAGCCTGCCAAATACAAAGGTGGGAAAAAAAGATCCTCAGACACTCAGCTCTCCCTAAGCCCCAACCTACACTGTGTTACCAATACTTGCCTTGAGTCCTCCAGGCTTTACTTCATTGTTTCATTTACTTGTGTTTATGTCAGTCACCTCAAGCAACTCCATACTTGTAGGTCATCCTTCATCCCCTTTATTCTGATCCCCATTGAATTCTGCACATTTCCTTTTCCGCCCCAGTTCTTAGCTCTCCCTAAGAAAGTAGAAAGTCTTCTACTGTGATCTTTGGAAATCATAATCTATCATTAGCAAAATCCCCTATTTGCTCATTCTTCTTTCTGAATATTCTTCTAACTTTTTACTCTAATGGAAACCTGAAGCCCCTGTGAGAAAACTTTACCCCTCTCAAGGGGTGCCCTCTTAAGATATTGTAGAGAAGAGGAACCAATCCGTCTCAGTTGTGTCTCTTTTTCTCCCTGCAAAATTGTCTCTAATGGATTTTTTTTTCTATTATCGTACAAGCATGTAGGTATTCTTCCCACCAAAAACAAAACAAACTCAAAATTTCCTTTCCATCTAGACTTCATCCAGTTTCCTGTTTCTTTTACAGCAAAACTTCTTGAGGGTTGTTATACTATTACTTGTTGTCTCCAATTATTTTCCTTCTATTCTCTCTTGAATCCACTCCAATCAGGCTCTTACCTCCAGCATTCTGTCATAACTGCTCCTGTCCAAGATCACCAGTGGTCTCTATCACTAAACCTTATGGTCAGGCCTCTGTTCCTCATCTTACTTGACCATCCTTTGACACAGATGATCGTTCTCTTCTCTTTGAAATACTTTTCAAAATATAATTTCTGTTTCTCTCCACCTGACTATGCCTTATCAGTCTCCATTGCTGGTTTGTTTTCATATTTCAGATGCACCCTCATTCTACTAATTTCCATTTTCTCACTCCATGGTAATCTTATCCAGTCTCATGGTTTTAAATACCCTCTATATGCTGATGACTCCAATATATTCAGCCACTAACCCCTTGCCTAGACTCCAGACTCATATGTACACTGGCTTATTATATTTTTCCTTTTGGATAGGGTCCTCAACCTTAAATTTCCCAACCTCCCTAATGTACTTCTACAGTATTCCTTATTAAGTGAATGACAGTTCCATTCTTACAGATGTTGTAGCAATAAATCTTGGGGTCATCAGAGACTCCTTTCTTTCTCTTTTGTCTTACTCCAACCTATAAGCAAATTACGACATGTCTGTTGATCTTTCCACTTCTCTTTGTAACAAATTTCTTAAAAGAGTTATCTATATTAACTTTTCTCCCATTTTCTCTTGAACCCATTCTTGTCAGACTTTATTCCCTACCATTTTACTAAGACTGCTATTGTCAAAGTCACCAATGACCTCCATGTTGCTAAAATCAATGATCAATTCTCAGTCCTCATCTTACTTGACATTTCAGCAGCTTTTGACATAGTTGATTACTCTCTTTTCCTCCATAGATTTTATTCTTTTGTCTTCCATGATATCACATTGTCTTGGTTTTCCTTTCAACTAAATGTTTGCTTCCTCTCTGTGTGCGTTGGCTGGTTCCTCTTCTTCACAACTTTTTACTATTGGGTGCCCTAGGGCTCGATTTTCATGTTTTTCTTTGCTTTATACTTATATCCTTGCAGGTGACATGCAATCTTGTGGTTTTAAATGCAATTTACATGCCAATAATTTCCTAATTTATCTCTTTATCCTAAATCTCTGTCTTAAACTTCAGACTTGTGTATCCAATTGCCTACTTATCTCCATTTGTATGTCTAATGTATGTATTAAACTATCTCCTAAATTGAACTCCTGTTCCACCCCTACCCCAAATCTGTTCCAACCACATAGGCTTCTCCATGTGAATTGAAAGTAACTCACTCCATCCTTGAGTTGGTCAGGTCAAAAATCTTGTAGTCATCCTTGAATTATTTTTCTCTTACTCTCCTCACATCCAGTTTTTCAGGAAACGTATGGGCTCTATCTTCCAAATATTTCTGAATTCTGACCATTTTTACCACCTCCACTTCTGTCATCCTGAAGCACCACCTCTCAATTATAATAGCTTCCTAACTAGTTTATGTGACTCTCCCATATGCTATTTTCAACATAGTTTGAGTAAATATATTAAAAGATAAGACTTAGAATATCAATCCTTCAATGTCTCTTCACTTCTCTCAGGAGGAAAGCTCAAGTCCTACATGACTTTGTCCTGCCAATCTCTCCAAATTCATCTTATACCATTTTCCCTAAAGCTCACTCTGCTCCTGCCTCACTGGTCTTCTAATGTTCTTGCATATAATGCTTCTAATGCCTTTGCATTGTTGCTCCTTATACCTGGGCTGCTTTCCGCTCCTTACTGGCACAGCTAAATCCACACCTCCTTCAAAAGTTCACTCAAATGTACCTTCTCAATGAAGCTCATCCTGACTATTTTATTTAAAATTGCAACGTGTCTGCTATGGACTGAACTGTGTCCCCCCTCTCCCCAAATTCATATGCTGAAGCCCTAACTCCGAGTGTGATTGTATTTGAAGATGGGGCCTCTAAGGAAGTAATTAAGGTTAAATGAGGCCATAGAGTGAGGCTCTGATCTGATAGGATTAGTGTCCTTATCAGAAGGGACACCAGAGACCTCGCTTCCTCTCTTTCTGCCATTATAAGGACATAGGGAGAAGGCTGCTATCTGCAAGTCAGGAGAGTTCTCACCAGGAACAGAATTGAATTGGCTGGCAACTAGCTCTTGGAATTGCCAGCCTCCAGAACTGTGAGAAAATATGGTTCTGCTTTTTAAGCCACCAAGTTTATGGTATTTTGTTATGACAGCTTGAGCAGACTAATACACTGCCCCTACCATAGTACTTCTGACCCTTCTTATAATATAATATGTCTTTATTTTTTTATTCATTAACTTCCAAGGTACTATATAATTCACCTATTTATTATGTTCTTTCTTTATTGTTTGTCCTCATTCATGAGAATACAGTCTTCACAAGGGTAGGGATTTTTGGTTTTGCTTTGTTCACTCATGTATCCCAGGTGCCTAGAACACTACCTGGAAGGTGCTTGATAAATTTTTAATGAATGAATGAAAAGGGAGTTTAAATTGCCAGGTGTGATCAAAATTGGCATAATTTCTGTTTTAATCTTGATGTATTTCAGGCTTTATGTTAAAAAACAAAATTAGTATCGAATATAAAAATATACTTCCTCCCAGGCTACATATATCTATATCTTCTTGGCCATAATTATTAGTTTTAAAGACTCTTTTCTCCACCCCACATCCTCTCCACCATCCTTAATTCTAATCCTTCCTTTTTTTTTCTTTTTGTGAGGAAGATCAGCCCTGAGCTAACATCTGTGCTAATCCTCCTCTTTTTTTTTTGCTGAGGAAGACCAGCTCTGAGCTAACATCCATCGCCAATCCCCCTCCTTTTTCTCCCCAAAGCCCCAGTAGATAGTTGTATGTCATAGTTGCACATCCTTCTAGTTGCTGTATGTGGGACGCAGCCTCAGCATGGCCAGGGAAGCGGTGCGTTGGTGCGTGCCCAGGATCCGAACCCGGGCCACCAGTAGTGGAGCGCACACACTTAGCCGCTAAGCCACGGGGCCGGCCCCTAATCCTTCTTTAAAAAGGGGAAAAAAAACAAAAAACAAAACAGGTTTAGAAATTCTAAATTCATTGCTAGTTGTAAGGGCTATAAAATAATTGTAAAAGGCATGAGTCAAAGGTATTAATATTTTTGGTGAAATAACATGTAATATGAAATAAATTAGAAACAAACTTTTTTATAAAATTAGGATTTAGATTTCAAATGCAATATCATGGAGATTAAAGATAATGGAGAATGTATACCAAAGTAACTATTTTTAAAGCCTTGCAGGTATCTTTTTATAAAGATATTCTTTCTGAAGCTAAAGGGGACAGGTTGGTTCCAAAGAAAACATGCTGCTCCAGAGAGGACACACAGCAACTAAAGACAGTGGAGGACTTCATATCAATTCAGGGAGAGAAACTTGTTAAAATGCCTTTCCTAGTAAAAGAATTGCATCTAAGAATTTAATTAAATAATTAAAAGTAAACTACGTAAATAAGCCTGACTAGTTGACAAATTTAATCAACCAATCAATCAATCAATGGAAAACATATCCACAGATAAAAGACATGTCCACTGATAGAAGAATAGTTAAGAAACACATTTGAATTAAGTAAACAATGCCCAATCAATTCAATGATTATAGGTGATTTGGTATTCCTAGGCAGACACAGCAAGAAACTAGGTCCGCTAATACTGCTCAATAATATGAAGAAGAAAGTCAGATTTCCAAATCAAACGCAGTTTGTATGAACCGAAAATGGGTCTGCAAGTGAAATTATCTGTTCCTATGGTTGTTTTCATACTTTCTTCAAAATGAATAAATTAGTACCATTCACAGTGACCTGATTTGAGCCTGATGTTTGTGTTGGCAGTATTGACAAGTTAATTCCAGTTGTGCTCAGCTAGAAGGTCCATGTGGAACTCATAACTTCATTTGTCAAAAATGAGGAACTCACTGCTCTTTGTATTCATGTTGGTGTATAAAGGAATCTTAAGTGCTTTCTAAATACTAGCTTATGAGTTGTATTACCTTTCCCAGAAATTTCAAACTCCAGACACATCTATTTTTTTCTAATAGATATTTCTGCATTAGAGCCAGTCTTTACTGAAATTGATGTAGATGAAGGAGCAAAAGGTCTGGGCTGTCACACTAAGGATAAGATGGGAGCACTGGAGTGGAGGTTATAAGAATTTGTGTCCTTTCCAGAATTATCTACTGGACTTAGAAATTCCCACAGTGTCTTGGGTCTGTTGAGATGTCACAGGGTTAAAATGGAGCCAGCAACGAGGCTAATACCTACAATTATATATATTACAAAATAAATATGTAGACATGTATAGTATACTGCAATGACAATCGAACTGAATTCTATAATTAATATAGGAACCTAATATCAAGAAAAACCTGAATTATAGTTTACATGCAGAAGAATATATTTCCTCTCCCCTAAATTGTAAATTTGTACAGAAAAAAAAGTTTCTGCTCAAATTTATTTTATTTAAGCAACAAAATGGACCACTCTACTCCTGCAACATACCGCTTAATTGCATTTTATGGTTATTGCACTCAGATATTTTAATGGTTTTATATTTCACTTCTAAACAGGTAAATTGATTTTATATTTAAATAGAAAATAAACCAAAATCACAAATCCCTACTTGGTAAGGAAAACTGCTTCCGAAGATTACATTTTATAGACATTGCACACTTTTCAAATACCAGCATGTTAAACAAGTATCCAATAACGATCAAGTGAGTGTAATTTCACATATCCCTGCAGACAGCTACATTTGGAGAGTAGGGGCAGTTTAGTTATAACTTGAAAAGAAAACCATCAGAGAAGAAAATGATTTATAAAATAATGCAACTATAATGCAAACATCATAGAAGTAGGTATTAAAATGCAGCATTGCTTTAAATAATGTAATTTTATGTTAGATTTTCTTTTTATAAATAAAACAGATGTGTGACTCTAAAGGGGTAGCACAAGGAACTGGAGTAATGAAACAGTTCTTTCTCTGATTGTCTTGGTGGTTGCTTGAATCTACACAAGAAAATTTCATAGAATTTTATAAAGAAAAATTGCATATAAAAACTGGTAAAATCTGAATATGATCTGTAGTTTAGTTAATAGCATTGTACCAATGTCAGTTTTGTGATTTGATAATTGCACCATTGTTATGTAAAATGTTTATCACTGGGGGAAGCTGAGGAATGGGTTCACAGGAAATCTTTGTCCTATTTTTGCTACGTCTATGTGAGTCTAAAGTTATTTCAATAAACAAACAAATATAAATGATGTGGTCCCTCCTCAGGAATTGAGAAGAGAAGAAAGCAAGGTAGCTTTATAAAAAGAAGCAAACAATGGTTAACGTTATAATAAATAGCAAAGTTTCCAGAATCCAAGCTGATCCTACTGAGAGTGTTAGCAAATATACCTCCTGACGTAGGAAGCTGCTCTGTTTGCATCTGATGTTGCCTTAGAGCCGTTTACCTGTTTTCACTGTTTGCCAGCCCAGGGAGAATGGGCTGCGAGCCTGCAGGTTGTAGGAGGAGACTGGGCTGTGGTTGTCAGCTGCTGGACTCCAGGAGAGCGTAGCTGTGCTGTCGGTGATCTCTTCAACGATCACTATCCCTGGTGGGCCCGGGGGACCTATAGGCAGAAGGGAATGGATAAAGTGAAGCACAAGCCACGATGAGGAGCCATGAGAAATTGTATTTCTAATAGGGATCCAATCAAACTATGTAATTGTCTAATGAAATACATATTTAGTAAAAAAATTGACAGTAAAAAGTGATGAGAGGCAAGCTGGTTTCCATGATTTCTGAGGGTAACAACTATAGATTTAATTTTTTTCTAACACTTTTTGCTTGGAGGCAACTACCAATTAGCATTATATTTTATAGGAAAAGAAAAAATATTTAGAAACAAACACAAGAATATGAATGTCACTATCAACTACGGCTGTTGAAATCAATCACAGCTTACAGAGGCAGCAACAGAGAGTGATAGGCAATGCTGTCAGGAACAAGAATGATCCCATCATTGCTAAAAAGCTATGGATGTATTGGCCTAATTTTCATGTTTGGGAAACCTGCAATGTACAAATACTGTGATGTGACTATCAAGTACTTAAACTGTAACAGAGGAGATATGAAAGGCTCTGAAATAATGATAGTTCAGACCAAGAAAGGGTATATACTAGAAGTGAGGCATGGAAAAATTTTGTGGGGAGTTAAAAGGATGATGTGATTAGATTATTACTATTATTAATATTGGTCAGGGTGGGAGGGTGGTGAATCAGAGACTATTTCTCTTTTGATCATGATAAATTGGTATAGAATAGTGATGATCAATCTATAGCATGTAGACTCTAGCTTCAAGAAACAACTATGATCTGATATGAGGAGAAATATACCTTTGTATTATTACTTCTAAAATAGTGATTTCTAATAACATTTAAAAATATGTAGAGTGTTTATATTTTAGTGGCTAAAAAGCAATGTCAGTTTTCTTATTAACATTCTTTTATTCCCTAATATGGACAATTCAGGATGCAAAGATGCTATTATTTTCAATGAAAAAATCCCATCTTTATTATTGTAAGTTATTTTCTGAGTTAGTTCTTATGTAGCAAGTTACTCTCTGAACTTGGTCTGAGCAGTAAGGGCTGACCTAGACTGTAAGAAGCTAAGACATGGTGGAGTGTCGAAGAGATGGAGACAGTTAGTAAAGACCTCAGGGTAGAGAATTTAAACAAGGAAGAGATAATGAGATGGAGATAGAATTAAAAACCCTCTCCAGGCAAATGGCATTTTTATGAAATGAGAAATGAGCACTGTTATCAAGACTGAGAAGAACCAGTAGCAGATAGCAGAGAGCAAAGATATAGAAGACAGGGACTATTCCATCAGGAGGGTGACAAAAGATTGAGACTGTGGGCAAAAGTGTAGATGATAAGCATGAGAAGAAGTGGCAGCTTTTTCTCTCAAAGAAATGAAGGAAGAAACAATGATTAGAGAGAGAAAGCTTTTGAGAAGGCAAGAAGGGATGTTGAGAGAGCTCATTTGGTAAGATTCTCATTTTTTCACTTTCACAAACAAGAAAAAAAACCTACAAAAAGTAAAAGTGATTGGGTGAGAATGGGACTGAGCTAGAGCAGAATGGTAAAGGTCTGGAATAAGCACATGATAAAAGAGGAAAGATATGAAGAAGAGTGAAATATAAATGTTTTGGAATAGTATTGGAGTTCAAGTGTGGTTCAATGGCACCATTTTGAAGTGGAACTGACCAACTCAGCAAGATTAAGATAGAAAACCAGGACCAGGGCCAGAGAAAGTAGTTAATTGAATCCCTTCAGATTTAGGAGTTTGTAAATTTGGTATGGCTTATTATCAAAGATGCCAGTGGTATGAATGACCATAGTGTCAAGATGGACTAGGGAGTCAAGTGAAGCAGAAAGGTGCTGACAGACTAGAATAAGAGAAAGGAGTCAAGGAAATCAGATTATTATGAGGGGAAGATACAAGAATAAGAACTTGCTTTGTGAGGAGAAAATTGCAGAATTTGTGATTTAAGTGTAGGATACTTTTGAGTGAGAATTTGCTTGTATCCATCTGGAGTGAAGTGGAGAATATGAATTTTAGGGTTGACAAGGTCAAAGACTTAAGGAAGAATATGTTTGATGTGTCACCAATGTGAATGTTCAAAGCAGTAAAATAGTGGCTAAGGATGAGGTGAGGAAAATAAATGAGATTCAGGTGTTGAAGAAGATATCTAGCAAGTTGTTAGACTTTGGTGACAGGGATATGGAAGAGCAACTGTAATGATGATAATATAACAATGATAAGAATATTAACTGTAATAATAATACTAATAGCTACCATATCCTCACTGTACTGTATTAAGGACTGTATTAAGTATTTTGCAAACATTAAGCTGTTCATTTGTTTCTATGTCACTGTGAGGTGGGCATTATTATCCTTGTTTCATAGAGGATGTAATGGAATCTCAAAGAGATTTAGTCAATGAATAATAAGCAAAATTACTTAGTTAATAACCATATTATATGTTAGGTGCTATGCTAGGCAGTGGGTATCAGAGAGTCCATTCTAATGAGGAGAAGTTATTTGCCCAAGTCACTCTGCTAGTGAACAGCACAGCTGAGATTTCAATTCAGAGCTAATTGTGAACCCTGATTTGTCTAAGGAAGCAAGGCGTATACAGATCCTTCCTCCTTTCAATGTTAATGTAGGGAGTAGTTTCAATTGAAGGAAGGAAAGAAAGAGAAAAAGTACGCATTAGGGAAAGCCACATTTAAATTATGTGGTAGAGATAGAGATGGCATTTGAAAAAAGGGTTTAGAACTTTGTGCAGCCTGTGTATGATGGCCACCAACCCTCCTCTTCCTCCCTGGACATGCAGGTCATTCCCTCACCGAAAGGTGGAGCCTATTCTTTCACCTTCTTGAATCTGGGCTGGCCTGTGGCTATTTCACCTAAAAGACAATGGTAGAAGTGACACAGCATGACTTTTGAGGAGAGGTCATAGAAGCATTGCAGCTTCATCCCAGATTTCCTGGAATTCTTATGGGAAAATCCAGCTGCCTAGTTAGAAATCTGATTAAACTGAGGCTGCCATTCTGTGAGGAAGTCCAAGCTAGCCATTTGGAGAGGCTAGTGGAGAGAGGGAGATCCAAGCTGCCCCCGGCTATTCCAGGCATCCCAGCCCAGGCACCGGACATGTGAGTGATGAAGCCTTCAAGTGACTCCAGCTTCAGCCACCAAGGGACTCGTGTGCACGAGAGATCCCAAGTAAGAACCTGGCTGTGCCTGTCAGCTGCCAAAACCATGAGAGCAAATACTACATTGATATTTTAAGTAACTAAGTTTTGGGGCAGCAATGAATAATCGGGACAGACTTCAAAATAGTTTGGTTTGACAGTTTGTTAATAGATAAGGAGTTTATCAGGAGCATCTTCAAGATGCTATGAAAAAAAGACTTGAAATGTAGCTAATGTATTCAAATAGGAATAATTATCAACATATTCATTTTTTTAAGCTCTTTTATTTTATTTCATTTATTCTCTTCCATTTCATCCATTCTATTTATTCACCTCTTCAAAAAGCATTTATTAACAACCATGTGTGACGTGTGATAGAAGATTTTGTGGAAAATAACTGTTAACTTGAATAAAATAATTTGCTTTTCTGAGTATTAAAGCTCTATGAAAATGTTTAAGTTAGTTCTCTTAAAGAAAGGTAAATTTCTTTCAATAATAGGTAATAATTACTCTAAATAATTTTTTAAAACTTCAGCTGGAACAGAAAATGGAATTTACAACATAATTAATAAATCCCCAAGTATTTTTCTCTATGTGTGGCTATTTTCCCAATTATGGTCCTTAGCAAAATAATCAGTGACAGTGAACAAGATTTATCCACCCAGGATACTGATTGTGGCTGTGCAATTACTTATAATTACAAACCATTGTAAATAACTAATTGTCTAATAATTATGTAATGCTTAAATCACAAAATCTTATGATAAAATATTAGGCAGCCATTAAACTGCCTAATATTTAAGACTATTTAATGATATGGGAAATGTTCACAATACAAGTGAAAAAAGTAGAATGCAACATTTTATGTAAATATGAATGTCTAAATAGTAATTTGCCAAATATGTAAAGGAAAAGACTGGAAAGAAATGCATTAAAGTATACATGGTGGTTATTGCTTGGAGGTGAGGATGTGGATGATTTAAATTTTATTCTTTATTCTTGTTTGGATTTTCCAATTCTGTACAATAAGCTTGTATTACTTCTACAATTATTTTAAAAGGTCATTAATTTAAAGAACGCCTCCATATTGTCATATGCCTGTACTATTGTGAGTATACCCTATTTAACTAAATGTTTACTGAATGCAATTCAGTATTGTGTTATTAGTGCAATTAGTATGTGTGAAGCACTGTGCCGAGCGTGGGAGATGGGGGCGAGAAAGGTTTATAGGAGGACAAGATAGGGTCCAGTCCCAGATGTGTTCAAGTCCAGTGGCAAAGACAGATCTTTTACAAAAAAATAAATGCCAGGCAGTGATAATGTTATGTTCAAGTGCTTTGAGAGTACATTTTACATCTCATTATAGCACTTATTACATTGAGTATAATTATTTTTCTATAATTTCCACTAGTTTGAATATTCAACATGGTACTTGGCATATATTAGGCCCTCAATAAATATTGGTAGAAGAAGAGATGGAAGGAAGAAGGGAGGATAAAAAAAAGGAAGAAGAAAGAGAAGGAAGGACATAAGTTATGTTTTGAGTTTGGAATGTTGTGTAACAATTAACAAGTAAAAGACTGTTTTAAAATAAAGTAATTATCATATAAGACAAAGATCCAATATGATAGCCTCTTTTTTGTTAAATAAAGTATATTTGAGCCAACAGTTTTTTTCAGTCAAGTTTAGTGTGGGGTGGTAATAAAAATGAGAGGATAGCTCTATGAATGAAGACAATAAACCCTTTCATATGATTTAATAATAGGGCTCATTCTTATTAGAAACTTAGAGTATTAAAGCCTATGGATAGATACTTTTTCAGATCCCTGTAAATCTGAAAGATTTTTACGAATATACTATCGTAAAACTC